GAAAGAGTTGATTTGTGAGGAGAGCAATCACGTTTATTTTCTAAAACCAAAATAAAACGGAACACCTCAAAATTACAAAACAAAAAACAATATCTTTCAAAAAGGTCTCTTCAGTATAATGGATAAATAAAATAATGTTTAGTAAAATTAAAAAGCCAAAGCTTTCTTGCAATGAATGTGCTGGTTTGCGCCTCATTGCCGTCAGCAGTCATGTCCTCATCTCATATATAAAACACCTCTGATTCACAAATACTTGCTAAGGAACTCGCATTCACATAAAGTATACTTGTTGAAAAGTTTGGGTGAGTAAGGGTAAAACGCACAAGATGCAGTGCTTTCAATGACCTGTAATAGGCAGTATCACGTCTTTTGTAGCAGAAATAAACTGCTGCAGAAAAAGCTAGGTCCATGCAAAATGTAATGTGCAACTGCAACACTCATTTCAAATGTAGTGGAGTAAAGAGTACAGATACTCATTCAATAACGTAGTGAAGTAAAGAGTAAAAGTTGCTAACATCTTTGCTACTCGGTACAACAACAAAGTACCCGAAAAGATACTCAAGTACAGAAACTAATTACATTTACTCCAATAATTGACACCTCTGGCACTGAGGTTTGTTTCAATCAAAGTTATGCAAAAATGGGTTGGCCATTCATTCACATATATTTCTGGCCTTAATCTATACTTCTAAGAAAAGGGGACAAATGAAATAATTTGTGTCTCTAAATTGTTGGAGAACAATTTTGATACAGTCTCCACTCTGAACCACTTGATCAAGTGCCTTGCAGTGCACTTTCCCTCCGAAAGCACTCTGTCTCACTCCTGTACTGAGTTAACGTTATGTATTCTAGCCGTAGAGTAGCTTTAATTTAATTTATTCAGAGTTATCCTGGCAGATGAGGGTTAGCTGGTGTTTTGCAGCGAAGAGAAAGGGATGGGAGAAGAATGAGACTACCACGCAGGGGATTTTGAACGTGCAAAAGATTTCAGCTGATATCACCGAAGACGACTAGGCTGAAAGTCGGTTAAAGAAGTGAGAAGAAATAAAAGTGTTTGGTTTCTTCCACCCATACCCTTGTGAAATCATTCTTTTTCTCTCTTTCTATCTGTCTGTCAGTCTGTCTTCCTTTTTCTCTCTCCTTGGCTAAGAGTGGGCCTTTAAAATATTAATCTTATAAATATTTCACTCATATCTAATAAAAGCTTCTCTCTTCATTAACGAGGTGACTGGGGGAGCCATTGATCAAATTTTCTGTTTCATGGCATGAATATTCTCTCTCAGCCTCCTCCTCTCGCCCTTTCTCGCTCTCTTTCTCCCTCCGTCTGAACGCATGACGTTTAGTTAATGTAGCAATGGTGGCAACCTCTCAGCACGCTGAGTCTAATTCAACTTCTGGCCAATTACAGCTAGTGCGTTCCACTAAGGGCGCACTCACTGCTTTTATTCTCTTAAAAGCGTCAAGTTTAAGTTCAGTCGCACAAGCACTGCAGTTAAAAAGGAAAAAACACTGAATGAGATGGGGGAAAAAAATTCTAGCTAAATGTCACTTCCTGTTCCAGTCTACTACCTCTGAGGCTTTATTTTCCAGGTCAAATTAAGTTAAATTTATTTTGTATAATACTATTCGCAATATGCGTTTCAAAGTAGATTTTCAGAAAGTCGTACTGTTATGTCAGCAATACCTTTAACATGGAAAAATAGGTTTAACATAGAGAAAGTTTTACGGCTGGGTGATATGACAATATAAAAACAATGATACAAGTGATCCAACGGATTTTAGATTTAGCTACAGTATACTGTATTTACAGTGCTGTCTAGCACATATATCAGTGCCACAGTGACTCGGACATATGTCTGAGCATTCAAAGGCAGGTAAGAGATTTCGTTTTGGTCAGTATTATTCTATTTAAGGAATAGTTAACCCCCTCCCCCCATATTACATCACTTACTCACCAATGGATCCTCTGCAGTGAATGGGTGCCGTCAGAGTGAGACTCCAAACAGCTGATAAGAACATCACAATAAACCTCAAGTAATCCATATGACTCCAGTCCATCAACTAACATCTTGTGAAGCGAAAATCTGTGAATTTGTAAGAAACAAATCCATCATTAAGATGTTTTAACTTCAAACCGCTGCTTCTGTCTAAGGGGGCGTTTACATGACACAGTTTTCAACTAAGAACAGAACATTTTTTATGCATTTTGGCCATCCATTTTCATTTATCGCTTTCACTTTGAACTTGCACTTTGAAGCCCGTTTTGTTTGGGTTTTTAGGTCCCCTAAACACCATTGTCATAATGGTGTTTAGGGGACCTAAAAACGCAAACAAAACGGGCTTCAAAGTGCAAGTTCAAAGTGAAAGCGATACCGTTATTCACGCAAATTGATGAAAACCGCGACATCATGTGTCTGCATATTACATGTTTAGTCTATAGCAGGGTTCCTCAGATCTTACCCTGGAGGTCCAATGCGCTGCAGAGTTTAGCTCCAACCCTGATCAAACTCATCTACCTGTGATTTTCTAATGATCCTGAAGACATTGATTAGCATGCTCAGGTGTGTTTGATTAGGGTTAGAGCTAAACTCTGCAGGAAAGTGGATCTCGTGGGCCAGATTTGAGGATCCCTGGTCTATAGGAATGCATGTGTTGTGACATTGCCATCTACTGGCCTGGCATACATAATGCAGCGTTTTTTGTCGTTTTCGCAGATCTGAGTGAAAAAGGATAATTTTGACAGTGTTGTCGCCTGTAGGCAAAACTTTTCAAAAACACAAAGAAAAAACGTTTGTTTTTAAGTACAATTGTTGTCGTATAAAAGTACCCTAAAATATGAGTGCTCTATCCATGTCTGTCCTTCATCCACTTTCTCCAGTGATTAGAAGTCATTCCTCAGTAATTAGTAATTCATTTAAGTGACAGTGTTGAGAGATATAGGGTATGGCTTTAGTTTGAATTAGTAGCATCTCTGATTTCAGGCAGAATTACTATAACATGATGGCTTTCCTTAGTGTGGTAGAAAATTACTTATATCATGGAAATTATTTTAGTCGTAGCAGCCACGTCTAAGCAATTTAAACAGGGAGCTGTTAAAAAGTCTACATTTACACTGGTGGCACAGGATGTTCCTCAGCCATCGAGTGAATGATTCAGAGTGTGTGGTGGTTGGTTTGTGTCCTCCCTGTGTGTCACGTACACTTCAATAGCTTAACAGGTCTGTTTGGGCTTTTTCAGTCAGAGCCGGAGACAAACTGTTCCCAGACTGATGCGCTAATGCCCATGTCTCCTGTTTGTTCTCTCCTGGGGATGGATGGGGGTTCGGATGAAGACATGGATGAGAGGAGGGTCACAGTGCACTTCTGATGTATAAGCCTGCTGCTCATAAATAGAGCTCTTATTGAATCTGACATTGTGAGATCAATACCTCTCTCCACGTGAATACCGTTCACACACACATACATAGTCATGCTGTTTGTTCTGTATCGCATCCTGGAAGGGCTCATAAAGTGCCATGCTAGGCACTTTTATTATGGCGTTAATTAGCCGACTCTCCGGTGAGTCCTGTGATGGAGAGAGTAACTCCGTCAGCACTTAGCCGAGCACGTTACAGTATGCTAGGTGGTTTCTCTCAGGTCCTGTAGGTCAGGCTGTACAGGGGGATCTGTATAATCCTGCTCTTAGGTTTAATTGCCGCGGATTGGATTAGTGTGTCGTACTTCACCTCGGTGAGACAAGCTGTGATCCATGTTAATGAGGTGGAGGAGATCGGATCAAGAAAGTTCACACCACTAGATCTTAAGATACAACTCTGAGTGTGCATTTCTGCGTGTATGTGGTACAAATCTTCTATACTGAATGTTATTGTGCTTTTTGATAGACTTAAATTTCTTTACTGTTTAATGCAAATGCAAATGCAAATGCATCATTTACTCACCCACATGTCGTTCCAAACTAGTATGACTTAAAGCAAAGGACCTACATCTTTTGTTTGCTCTTTGCTTTACAGTTACAATACAAAGCATACTGAAGCTTTTAAACAACAACAAAAAAAGACACAAACGTTTGATAAACAAGTTCACATGACTCATGCACATCTGAAGCCATACAATAGATTTGTGTGACAAACAGATTGACTGATAATCTTCCTCTCCAGTGGGCTGTTGTAAGACTGGCTTTGTGAAAAGTTCAACTGATTTTTTCAAAAGTTCTGACCCCAGAAATAATTATTTGTTCATCACTTGAATATCCTGGCTTCTATTGTAAACCCTCATAAATGAGTACATTTTCCCCAGATATTTATTTAATTCATAATTTTATTATTATTATTATTATTATTATTATTATTATTATTATCTATTATGTTTGGCATTTATTAAAATTATTTTTGAAAATAAAAAATGTCGGCATGTTTCTCACGCAGTGTCTTGATAAAACTAGGATTACTATGCACAAAATACGCACCATTAAATGAAACTCTGATAATTATAAAATAATTTAAAAAAAAATGAATTATTAAAAAAGGTTACACACACAACAGCCACTTTATTAGGCACGCCTGTTCAACTGCTTCTTAAGGAAGTCAGCCAATCACATGGCAGGAGCTCAATGCATGGTTGTTAGTGCCAGACGTGCTGGTCTGACTATTTCAGAAACTGCTGATCTACTGGGATTACTGGGATCTACTACGCACAACCATTTCTAGAGTCCGAACAAGAGGAAATATCCAGTGAGCTGGAGTTCTGTGGGTTAAAATTCCTGGTTGATGCCAGAGGTTAGAGGAGAATAGCCAGACTAGCTCAAGCTAATAGAAAGGCAACAGTAACTCAAATAAGCAATTGTTGCAACCGAGGTTTATAAGAGCATCTCTGAATGCACAACACGTCAAATCTTGAAGCAGAACACATCAAACCTTGAAGCAGAAGACCACACCGGGTGCCACTCCTGTCAGCTAAGAACAGGAAACTGTGCCATGTCACAAAGCTTAAATCATCTCAAACTTCTTTCTTGAACCATGACAATGAGTTCACTTTACTCAAATGGCCTCCACAGTCACCAGATCTCAATCCAATAGAGCACCTTTAGGATGTGGTGGAATGGGAGATTCCTAATTAATTCCTAAGTGGCCTGTGTGTGTGTGTGTGTGTATATATATGCATACATACTGTACATATGCACACAGTACAATGCACAACACGTCAAATCTTGAAGCAGAACACATCAAACCTTGAAGCAGAAGACCACACCGGGTGCCACTCCTGTCAGCTAAGAACAGGAAACTGTGCCATGTCACAAAGCTTAAATCATCTCAAACTTCTTTCTTGAACCATGACAATGAGTTCACTTTACTCAAATGGCCTCCACAGTCACCAGATCTCAATCCAATAGAGCACCTTTAGGATGTGGTGGAATGGGAGATTCCTAATTAATTCCTAAGTGGCCTGTGTGTGTGTGTGTGTATATATATGCATACATACTGTACATATGCACACAGTATAAATAGTATTATTGTGAAATATTAATGCAATTTAAAATAACTTTTTTCTATTTTAGTATATTTTAAAATGTAATTTATTCCTGTGATGACAAAGACTAATTTTCAGCATAATTCAAATATGCTGATTTCTGAAACAAGCGAGCCTAGGTTCTTCATTGGCATTGATGGTCCCGTGAAGAACCTTTAACATCCATGGAAACTTTCCATTCCACAAAATGTTCTTTAAAGTGGAAAGGGGTTCTTTAGATTTTTAAAATGTTCTTCACACTAAGAAAAATGGTTCGGTTCTTCATTGGCATTGATGGTCCCGTGAAGAACCTTTAACATCTATGGAAACTTTCCATTCCACAAAATGTTCTTTAAAGTGGAAAGGGGTTCTTTAGATTTTTAAAATGTTCTTCACACTAAGAAAAATGGTTATTTTAAAAAGTGTGCACTTAAAAGTTCTTTGGAGAACCAACAATGGTTTCTTCCACTGAGAAAACCCCCTGTTAGAACTGCTTTTTAAGAGTGTAATGGAGTAATTAAAACATAATTTACAAAACCAAATGTTCAAGCTTTCACAATTGCTCAAGAATGGATTGTCTGTATGTGCTACCAAATAATTTTCAAGTGAAGTTGCTAAAAGCAGGTCAATTTGTTGCTAAATGTCATAAAGTCATAAACCAGGTTATAAATCATCAATCTGACATATAGTTTATGATAAGACTACTGTTATGATCTCAAATTTGAAAAGGAATTCCAGTTGTGAATAATAAATTAAACTATTTATTGAACATTTAGTCTTTTATTATATTGCTCCGCCATTTTAATAAGAGGTTTAAGAAGTGACAGCCAACCCATTAGCTGGCAAAAGGCGATCACCTAAAGGAAAGCATCTCTCAGGGGTCTCGCCCTACAGCGGCTAATGGGGCAGGACTGGTTTTGGGACACTCAGCTTGCCAAAAAAAAAAAAACTCCTTGAGAAAAATCACTGTAGCATACAAACCTCTTTCTTTTCTTATTAAATTAATTTTAAAACATTATTTTACTAATGTGTTTCTCATCAAAATATCAGTCCGTTTACATTCATGATCCCATTCGAAACAATTATATTTCAGTGGGTTATATGAAATCTAATTGTATAAACACTTATAAAGCACTGCAGATGTAAGTGGCAAGGTATGGCACTCTTAAACTCTGTTGTTGGACTCTGCTCTATCAGCCAAGCAATGGAGAAAAGCTCTGCTGATACCTGTGCATCACTTCCTCCTGACCTCCCTTTCTCTCCATTACTGGATGCCAAACACTCCCAATTGTCAATCATTGTCTCCTCCTCTCCTTTGCACTCGCCCTTGCCACTCTTTAGTCAGTAGCTTGCCATTGTTGTGTGTGTGTGTGTGTGTGTGTGTGTGTGTGGTGGCAGGCTGCTAAAGAAAAACATTCAGATTTGCCAACGCTACATTAGCATATTAGTATTCTGCATGGAGAGGCACTTTCCATCTCTCTGCTAATGGCTCTTACACATGCGGCTCTGCCGTAAGCAGAAAGTCCATGACATGCTGGCCACATAATTACAGGTTGGTTGTGGGGGACACGTGACGTGACACCGAGGTCTGTGTTTTGAAGTGTCGGGGTTCACGTCTCTTCTGGGATTCTGGAGGATGTGTATTTTTAGATGTCTAAACTCCATTACATCATTCAAATGTAGAGAAAATATCTTCAAGGGAACATATTTTCAGGATTTTCCTTGCTCTTTTGGAATAAAAGAATGTTCTAACCTAAAACTCTGACCCTATTCCACCCAGACAAGATCATGGAAACTAAGGTGCAAAAGTGGCAGCTAGAAATCATGATGGTTATGATCTCATAGTCAGGAGTATATTAACATATGACCACAACCACCACCACCACCACATTTACCTATTTAGTTTTGAACAGCTTGGCTAATTTTACTCATACTTTAGAATTTGCAAGTGTCAGATAGGGGGTGTCAAATTATAATATATAAAATATATATATAAAAAATGGATGCATAAGATGTTATGCATCAAAAATTGACACACCCGAGTCAACTGTAGGTGTGTTGGATGAAAATACAATATCCTGCAAAAATCCATCACAACATTTTAATCCCCCCCCCCCACTGAAAAAAGTTAGCAAGTTAGCAAGGATGCATTACACTGATCAAAATTGACACTAAATTTTTAATTGTAGATCAGTATATATCATTGATACTAACTGTAAACATTTTCCACCTACTTCACCTTGAAAATTTTACTTCAGTTGCAGCCTTAAATTTTTAAATATAATCAAACTGGTTGTACAAGTAATTTCAACTTAAATTATATTAAATTGACTACAAATTTAGTTGAATCTCATATAACTTAAAAAATGAAGTTGAAATGGGTTAAATTAATTTGATGAGTTAAAGTGATATATATATTGTAATTTTTATGCATGGCATGTATGAATTTTTAAAGATGACAGATTGAGGATTTATTTCTGGCAAATGTAATATTAGAACATATTATCCATTGTTACCAATGGCCCCCTGTTATGAGACAAAAAGTGACAGTAAAAACGTTTACATTGTTACAAAATATTTATCTTTCAAATAAATTTAGTTCTTCTGAAGTTTCGTTTCATCAAATCCTGAGAAAAAACTATCATGATTTCCAAAAAAATATTAAACAGCACAACTGTTTTCAACATTGATATTCATTAAGAAATGTTTCTTGCAGCAAATCAGCATATTACAATTTCTGATGGACCATGTGACACTGAAGACTGAAGTGACTGCTGAAGTGACTCAGCTTTGCCATCACAGGAATAAATTACATTTTAAAATATATTAAAATAGATAGCTAAAATAAATAAAATAAAATATTTCACAATATTATAATTTTTTATGTTTTTATTTATAAAATAAATATAGCCTGGTGAGACTTCTTTCAAAAATATTAAAAGTTCTTACCAACCCCAAACTTTTGAAGAGTAAGTGGTGGACCTCAGGAACAAAGTAAGTGCTACAAAAATGCAGAATATGGCCCCTTTGAGCCATAACCTCAGTGACTAATGTTTAAACACATTTGCAGTCTGTATGTGGTCAGCGTGTTTCAGAGGCTGTCTGGATTTCTCTCATGTCTGTGTGTTAACTTGTCAAATTAGCAGAAGTCCCTCACATGCTGAATCTCTAGAGATGCTTAATATCAGCAAACCATCTGGCATGTGAAACCTAACTAAGGAGAAGTGAAAAGAAAAGAGAAGAAGAAATAAAAGGAGATGAGGCAAGCAGAGAAACGAAAAGGCAAGAGGAGGACGGAGGAGATGAGATGGAGAAAAGTGAAGGCTAGAGGAGAATAGATGAGACTAAGATGAGATAAGATGAGGCGTGAAGAGAGTAGAGGAGAAGTGAACAAGAAATCAGTATGCCACGGCATCTCTGACTGACCCACTGTGTGTCCAATTTCAAATTCAAATGCAGGAGCTCATCCACAGCTAAGTTCACCCTCCCTCCATCCTCCTCCTCACACTCTCCTTTCTCTCATCACGCTCAATTCACATTTTCAATTTTGAAGTGCTTTGAAGGTTGGCCAGGAAAGTCATCTCCTGAGATTGGACTTTAGCGCTTACCTTTCTCTTTCTGTGTTTTTCACTTCACTGCCATCACACCTCCCACACTCACTCGCTCGCTCACTCATTCATTCTCTCCCTTCACCCCATTGTCACCTCTTGAAAAACCTGTTTTTTTTTGGACATTTGATATAAATCCTGTGTGACCCTCATAATCCCACGTCTACTACTGCTATACTTACTCTCAGATGATCTGCTTTTTCTCTCTCTCTCTCCATCGCTCTCTTTCTCTCTCTCTCTGTCCCTTTCCTGGACTTGCTCAGGGCTGGAATGAAACAAAAACTGATATGGTCAGGTGAAAACTAACCTACTTGGAAACAAGCTTTTTTCTCTCTTTCTTTCTTTTTCTTTTTTCTTTTTTCTTTCTGCAAGCTCTGTTTAGGTGTTTTTAGTGAATCAAAAACATACATACCATTCAAAAGTTTGGGGTCAATTCATTCATTCATTCATGTTTGTTGATTAAGTAATTTGTTTATTATATTTGTTTGTTTTTTATTTTAAATAAATCAATATTCTATCAAGGATGCATCAAACTGGTCAAAAGCGACAAGTAAAGACTTGTACACTGTGACAAAAACTTTCAGTTTTGTAATTTTATTTAAAATAAATGCTGTTCTTTTAAATTCTCTATTCATTAAGAATTCTGAAAAAGAATCTGACACAGTTTCCACACAAAAAAGCAGCCAAACCATTTTCAACATTGATAATAATAAGAAATGTTTCTTGAGCAAAAAAACAGCATATTAGAATGATTTCTGAAGGATCACGTGACATAGTAATGATGCTGAAAATTCAGCTTTGCCATCACAGAAATAAATTACATTTTTTAAATATATTAAAATAGAAAACATTTATTTTAAATTATAATAATATTTCACAATATTGCTGTTTTTTAACTGTATTTTTGATCAAATAAATACAGCCTTGGTGAGCACAAGAGACTTGTGCAAACAAATGACACTTATGAATGGGTTCTTGTTAGGGATTAAAATAATCAGTATAGTTACTGATGGGTTGTTTACATGACAATGTGTGGTTAAAGATATATATTATGCATTCTGTGAGTAGTAAATGTTAATGAATGAAATATATTACCACTTTTATTTTAATTGTGTTGTTGTTTTACACTGCATATACATATGCCAAGTATTGGATTGCATGCCAACTATTGGACTGTCTCAAAAAAGACTGTGTAAAGTCATTAAAATGTCTTTGTAAGCACAGCTTTCACAATATTTTCTGAAATGTATATATTTATGAGATCATTTATTCAAATTATCTCATCATTTAGAATTGTATTTCTTTTTATCAAATACGTATTGCTTCTAAGTACTAAAAGAATCAAAAACAGAATCATTAAATTCTTTATGATTCTCATCCCTGAAAGTGCCCCAGATTTACAATGTGCATGATACACACATTTCAGTGCACAGTTTGAACCCATTAACAGACCGGAGACCACCAGATCACTGTGCAGTTCTCTAGCTTTGTTTTCAATAAAATGGAAAGAACAAACACACAATGTTATTGGAGGATAATGCAATTTTAATGCAGCAAGCACACTTGTTCTATCCTCCAGCTTTGGCATGAATTTGAATGCATACTGCAATATGCGCTGTT